GGATGGCGCGTCTCCATGGAGGTGAGGGGGTGAGGCTGGCGGGGCGGCGGCATCCACACCCGGCGCTCTTCGGAGCCCTGCGCCGACAGGCCCCGACGGCGCCGCACGGCGGGCAGCTGCGGGGGCTCTCGGTCACCCCGTCCCTCCCTGGCGAGGCCGGGAGGGGCACTTTGCCTCTCCCGGTGCCGCCCCAGCCTTGCCCGAAGCCCACACGGCAGCCGCGCGTTCCGGCTCCTGCGTGGGGGGTCCCCCCATGTGGTGGGGGACACGTGCGGCTGGATAAATCCCTGCGAGAAATGACGAATTCGGGGTAAAAAACGAAGGGAAGGAGCGTTTGAGTGAAAGCAAGTGGGAAATTCTCAGGGGAAATGCCTGGTTTTCTCCCCTGAAATGAAGCGTCGGTGTCTTGCTGTGTTTCCTCCCTATTTTTATTTATTTATAGGAAAATCTGTAGGAAGAATTCCCGTGGCTGCTCGCAGTCTCCTGTTGCCAGTCCTGGCTTTGCTGGGCTCGTTGTGGGCAGATGAGCTGCCCAGACCCACACCTGGCTGAGGATCCAGGTGTTTGCCCGCGTCCCCCCAGTGCAGGAAGCTGCAGGAGCTGCCCTTAGAGCTCTTGGCTGGTGTGAGGGCAGTATGGGGCTGCTGGCCCTGCAGGCCTGTGAGCTTCAGGCACTCTGTGAGTACCTGTAATGTGCTGCTTTGTTTTCCCTTCTGGGCAGCCAGCTAACAGCTGAATTCACTAAGGATTCATCCTGCTCCCTGCAGCCACCCCAGGTACATCTCTCAGTGTTTGCTTTGTAGCCCTGTGGCTGGTTTGGAGAAGATGTCCCATTCAGCTGTCAGGCATTGAATTTTTGCTGCTCTTGGTCTATAAGCCATTTTGTCAGACACGTCACTGTCTCTTGGACTGCAACAGCAATCATACAGGTGACAAATCAGTGACCAGAGGTGCTTCCTCCTCTCTGTGTGTGCATCCCTGGGCTCTGGTTCTCAGGAAGATGCAGAATTGGTGCTTGTGCTCCTGAGATTCACTCAGAGGATGTGTGTGGAGCTGTCTGGCAGGGTCTGAGCTGGCCCTTGCCAGTGGCACAGGGACATTGATGGAGCACTGAGTGCGACCTCAAAGGGATTAACGTGTGTGTAAGCAGCTCTGGCCCCCCTCTGCACAGAGCTGGGGGTGTGAGGGGCCAGCAGCACCCCTCTGCACAGAGCTGGGGGTGTGAGGGGCCAGCAGCACCCCTCTGCACAGAGCTGGGGGTGTGAGGGGCCAGCAGCACCCCTCTGCACAGAGCTGGGGGTGTGAGGGGCCAGCAGCACCCCTCTGCACAGAGCTGGGGGTGTGAGGGGCCAGCAGCACCCCTCTGCACAGAGCTGGGGGTGTGAGGGGCCAGCAGCACCCCTCTGCACAGAGCTGGGGGTGTGAGGGGCCAGCAGCACCCCTCTGCACAGAGCTGGGGGTGTGAGGGGCCAGCAGCACCCCTCTGCACAGAGCTGGGGGTGTGAGGGGCCAGCAGCACCCCTCTGCACAGAGCTGGGGGTGTGAGGGGCCAGCAGCACCCCTCTGCACAGAGCTGGGGGTGTGAGGGGCCAGCAGCACCCCTCTGCACAGAGCTGGGGGTGTGAGGGGCCAGCAGCACCCCTCTGCACAGAGCTGGGGGTGTGAGGGGCCAGCAGCACCCCTCTGCACAGAGCTGGGGGTGTGAGGGGCCAGCAGCACCCCTCTGCACAGAGCTGGGGGTGTGAGGGGCCAGCAGCACCCCTCTGCACAGAGCTGGGGGTGTGAGGGGCCAGCAGCACCCCTCTGCACAGAGCTGGGGGTGTGAGGGGCCAGCAGCACCCCTCTGCACAGAGCTGGGGGTGTGAGGGGCCAGCAGCACCCCTCTGCACAGAGCTGGGTGTGAGGGAGGACAGAGTGACCCTGGTTTATGGTGTGGTGGGTTCACTCAGCCCTCCCACAGCTGGGACAGGGCTCTGCCTTCACTCACCTGGGGCTGTCGCTGGTACCTGTGCAGAGGCTGCAGATGTGGGTTCTGCCCTGCCCGACATCTCTGGCTTGTCTGTGCTGGCAGAGGCAGCACTGAGGCCATCAGTGTGCACATGGTTTACTTGAGTTGTCCCAAGAAACAAGCAGATGTCAGGAGTTGAACCTGCTGCAGATTGCTTCTGAGCCTGATAGGAGCGAAATGTGTGTTTTACACACAGCTGAGCAGTCAATTTTCTTGCATTCCAGCACTCTGTGTTCTGCTCTCTCTTACCTTGTTTTGTTTTTTTCATTCTCTTCATGTTGAGTTGCACTTTTGGTCTTCTACAAAGCTTGGAGGAAGTCCTGAGCAAATGTTTGTGCTTAATGCTGTTCTGTGTGTGTTGGTGAAGCCAGTCAGAGTGTGCACCTGTAAGACACAGGTATTTTGGGTGTAAAGGAGCTTTTTGTCACATGGTACTTGGGTTTTAGGAGCCTTCAAGTGAGGTGGGTGTACAGGGCTCTGAAGAAACACTGTAGCTTAGTCCAGAGATTATTTTGGGAGTAAGGAAATGTTTGGGGCAGATGAGGGACCCCAAGGATAAGGATAGAAAACCAAATTGTATTAGGTACTAGGAGCAACAAAGAAAAGGGCTGAAGTCAGTTTCATGGTCCGGAGTGCTCTGGGATGTAGTTGGAGATGCCCCAGCCAAGCACATCCTGTGCCCCCCAACTCTGCTCCTGCTTTGTCTGTCTCAGCCCCCCACGTTGTGACACCAATGGCCCAGTTTGCAGCTTCATTCCTTTCCCAGGCCTAGAACAAAAGCTGCAAAAACTGAGAGTTTGGTTCAAAATATGGCGATTTGTTAAATGAGCGCTCAGGTTAATTTGTTAATTTCCTTGCTCATTTCAGCTCAATTGTGTGCTTGATGTTTCGGACACAGTTCCTCACCACTGTTACAGTAACCGCAGGGGCTGGGCAGAGCGGGGGCTCCCAGGGCAGCAGGAGCAGACTCTGGGAACCTTGGTGGGCTCTTCCAGCACGGGGAGGGTTCAGAGCTGTGCTGGTGGCGCTGGCAGTGCCAGGGCCTGGCTGTGCCCCGCGGGCAGAGCCACCAGCCCTGTGCTGGAGCGAGCCCCGGTGCTGAGCCCTGCCCTGCTGTGCCAGCCCTGCCGGCTGCCCCTCGGGTGGGGCTCAGTGAGGGGACAGGTCAGGACAGGCTCGAGGGGCTCAGCAAGGGCAGCACGGGCTGGTCTCGGTGCCAGTGCTGGGTTCCCTCCACAGCAGCATTTGCATCTCTTTAATTACGCTGCTGTTTGGTCACCTGGGGCTTATCCCACTTACTGTGTTGGGGCTTCACTCTCTCACTGCCTTCTGTGAATGCTCAGAAAAGTGAGCACTAAAATGCTGCTTCTTGGTTTATCTCTGTTTTCATTTGCTCTTTCCAGTGAGGGTTGGGGAAATTTCCTGCACTACCATTCAGTCATTACTTGTTTTGAACTCAGATGGTCACTTTCCTGTTCAGAAGCTTTTTTCCTCCCAGTGCCAGCAGTTCCATTGCAAAGAGTGCTACATAAACCCAGAACCTCACTGTTCCTGTTTCCTAAGCAAGGAACAAAGTTCTCTTGTTACAGAAAACTGGAACTCTGGAGAGCGAAGAGACCTTATCCAAGGAGTCGTACCTAAAAAAGCAGTAGAGCTCAGTGGCTGCTGGGCTGTGGTCTAGTTGTGTGTGTATGTGTAAATTTTGGAATATTGCTGGCAGCATGGACACATCCAGATATTTGAGACTGCTGTCTTGGAGTAAGCACAGTGTTTTGGGGCAATTGTAGCACATTGAAGGTGATGAAGCACAGAAAAGATCACATTGTTGAACATACTACAGGATACGTGTTCTTCCTGACCACAGAGTGTGGGATGTGTCAGGTGCTGAGGGCTGGATTGAAGGAGTGCCTGGGGGTTAGCTGGGCAGGGAAGGGCCTAGGAGAAAGGCTCAGCCTGGCCATCTGTTCCAGCCTCTGCATTGCAATAGCCAAGGTGGGTTTGCTTGCCCATGGGGGAAGGAGTTCAGGCTGTAAAAATCACAGGGGTGCCTTCCTCCAAGCTGGCTGCTCCACAGAGACCTTATGGAGAGAAGGGCTGTGCTCTGTCCGTGGCTCGTGGTGGTGTTGAGCCTTGTGCTTTGCCCAGAGATGGCAGTGGAGCTGGGGAAGGGCCTGGAGCAGGAGTCTGAGGAGTGGCTGAGGGAGCTGGGGAAGGTTCAGCCTGCAGAAAAGGAGGATCAGGGGGACCTTCTCACTCTCTGCACCTCCTTGACGGGAGGGTGCAGCCAGTGGGGTCACGCTTGTCTCCCAGGAAACAGTGGACAGGAGAAGAGGAAGCAGTCTCAAGCTGTGCCAGGGCAGGTTCAGGTTGACTGTTGTGAGCAATTTCTTCATGGAAAGGTTTGCCCAGCCCTGGCACAGGCTGGCCAGGGCAGCAGTGGAGTCCCATCCCTAGAGGGGTTTCAAAGCAGTGTGGATGTGGCACTTTGGGTTGGCAGCGCTGGGGCAATGGTTGGGCTCAGTGGTCTCAGAGGGCTTTTCCAACCCAAACAAATTTGTGTTCCTGTGATTTTCTATGAGTCTAATGCAATCCCTGTCATTTCAGGCCTTTGCTCTCTCTTTCAGGATGCCCACAACTGCATTCCCGAGCTGGACAGTGAAACAGCCATGTTCTCTGTCTACGATGGACACGGAGGTAACTGCGTCCACTCTGCTCTGTCCTGTCCCTCAGTGTGACCCCTGGGGGCTGTCTGGGGCACCCATCTGTTCCTAGGAATTCTGCTCCTTGATGGAAGCACTTTCTTTCATAGATACCATCAGCAGAGCTTCTGAACTCTTAGGGGCCGTAGGAGGAACGTCAGGGTTTGATCTGAAATTGAAATCAGATTTGTATTCCATCTTTTATACCTTTTGAGAATGGCTGTTTTTATGGTGGATAAGCTGGACAGGAGAGTCACAGAGGAAAAAGTGGTAAGAAAAATCACCTGAGATTGACTCTAGACGGTGTGTTCTAGTGGTTGCCTAAGGAGAGAGTGAAAATCAAAACAGGCAGATCCATTCCCTGTTCCCAGTTCCTTAAACTGGAGGTTGCAGCCATTCCATCCTGGAGACATAGTGGAGTCTTCTGGATGAGCCAACTCTTCACAAATTTGTCTTATTGCATTTTAAGAAAGTTTCTATGTTTGGTGATTGTTTACACTGTGCATTTTGCATAGAATCATTATTTGAAAAAGATATGGTTAAATCTGCTGCCTGATAATTTCACTGCAGTATCCATGACACAAGGAATGAGTGAATAATCACTCTGGTAGTACTTTTCACTTTTAGTTTTGAATTCCTTGTCTTTTTTATTGCAGTCAAGAGGAGTCCAAAGCTTCTCTCTGCTTGTATGACTGAATATTGCTATTAAATATTATTGCTAATAATATTATAGAATTTGCTCTGGCAACAGAATGTAAGAGCTCAAGATCCTGCTGTTAAAGGTCCTGTCAAGATCCTTGCAACTTATTTTAATGTTGATCATCCTGGATGATCCATCATGGTTTACTGACCTCTTTTCCTGCTAATTTATGTAGATGTTGAACAACATAGCTTTTCAAGGAGCTCTCCCCATGGCCATCCCCCATTCTGAAAACTGCTCCTATCTGACCTCTCTGCTTTTCTTGTGCCAGCTTAGTATGGAAAGCATTTGATGGTCTATTTGAAAGGTCTTTGAAAATCTGTGTGCAGTAGATGAACTGAGCTGCCTGTTTCCTCCTGTTCACTGGCTCTGTAACAGTGTCCAGTTTGTGACTGTCACTGCTGCAGATGTAGCTCTTCCAAAGAGGTCATCTCACTCTGAAGAATCTATTTCATGTCCTGAAATTACTTTTTTTTTTCCTGAACTTCACCTTAGAGTGTGCAGAGACCCATGTGGAGCAGTCACTGATATCCTGAAGGGTATCTCTGAGAATGTGGGGATGATGAGTTGGTGCTGAGAGGCAGGGAATGACAAGCAACTGGGATGGAGGGATCAGGAGCTACTCACCTCAGAAACTGTGTGTGTGTGTATGAGGCAAAAATAAAGATAAGGAGCATCTACCAAGAATGGGTCAAGAATGAAGAGTATCAAACCATCTGTTCACTGAGCTCAGGGTGTTTGTTTCTCAGCTGCCAAGGCCTTACACCACGTGTTGGGTTTTAGAGAGGCTTTGGAGACTCACAACATCCCTGTTAGTATGGGACATTAAGTATTGTGTTTGGGGTTCTTAAATACAAGAGGGAAGGTCTGAGATAGACATTAGAGAAAGGCATAGGATGGCAAAGCACTGGCATGAGTTTCTAACTCATATTTTAGTTTTCTAGTTACTGAATCTCTACAGCTCTCCCTGGACAAACCATATCAGGAAGGACATGGATATAGTTGAATCTGAATTAGAAGAACAGCTTTTGCCCATCCCCTACTATTGTGTGATTTTATTGATGCAGTAGTTCTTAAGTTTGAAGCAATTTGGCCAGTTTTTACCTTCCCCATCTTCTTTTTTTATGTGCTCTGGCCTCCCTGCCCCCAGATTCTGGAGGATGATATTTGGGCACTCTGCCCCTTGAGTGGAGGGCAGGGAGTGTTTGCTCAGTCCCTATTGCTGTGTACCTGTGCCTTTATTTTCACAACATGTCTTCACTGACATGTATCTCGCATTGCTCGTCTGAGAGGGTCATTCCTCTCTCTCTGCTATTTGCCTTTTCACTGTTTTTAAAAAATTATTATTGTTTTAAACTTCTCTCAGCTCAAGGGCTTCCTGCCTTTTACTCTTGCAATCATTCCCCAGCTCCTCGAGAGATGGGCACCTGGCTGGGTGGTGCTTAGTTGCCCCCTGGGGTTAAACCACAGCAGTCCTTTCTTGGCCCCCACCATGGGGCTGGAAGGGTTGGGGCAGTAATGGACAGAGCAAGTCAGGGGGATTTGTGTCTGTTAGCAGCTGCAGGTCACAGTGCTGCTTCCCAAGATCAGTCCACCTGACCCACAGCACACTCTTTTTGTGCTGTACCTGTTAGAGGCTGGTGTTGGTTCCTGCTGTTTGCTGGCCCTGCAGAGATTAGTAGTGTTTGACCAAGGGATCTGTTATTCAAACGCTGACCTTGAGCCTCAGCTGGCACTTGGGGTCTGCACTGAGGACATCACTGTCCTTCAGCTTCCATCTCATGGAGACAACTAACAATTTTTCACCTCCCTCCAAGAGGCGTTTTTGGAGAAAACAGAATGGCCAAGGCATCACAACCCTCACAGGCAAGACTTTCTTCCTAATATCCCCTCCAACACTGCCCTCTGTCAATGTGAAGCCATTCCCCCTTGTCCTGTCACTCTAGGCCCTTGTCAGAGGTCCTCTCCAGTGTTCCCAGGTCAGAGCCAGTCCCTTTGTTCCCTGTATCATGGAATGCTGTGTAGCAGCAGCCATTTGGTTGTTTCTGTTCTCTCAATGGCCACTTGATCCCTTCTCTGCAGGTACATTGGAAAAGTCCTTGTTTGTGTTTCTCCCAATCTCCCCACTTCTCTGCTTCCCACTGTGTTCCCTTTGCTGAACTGATGGCTGGCTGCTGCTTTCTTCTCACTTCCCTTGCTCCCCATTCCTTCACAGAGCTTTGCTCCTGCCTGCACAGCTCTTCCTGATGCCCAGCTGCCTGCACAGTCTCTGTTGGGCTCAGAGGAGGGCAGGGAAGTTGGGATGTGCAGCAGGAAGATCAGGAGTTGTGTGGCTGGTCCATCCTGTGGAAAACCCTCCTGTAGGCCAAAGGAAAGGAGCCCACGTGGCTCTGGCTGTAGCTACAGGAAAGCCCCAGGTGCAGGTAGGCTCTGGCTTGCTGTGCCCTGCCAGCCACACTGCTATTTCTTTGTACTGTGACAGGGAATGATTGGTCCTGCACAGTCTCAGGATGTTCCTGGACCCTGCAGTGAGACCCTCCACCCGCCTGCAGCTTTGCCCTGCTCCTCTCCCTCTTTCTATGCAGTCATTTCATTTATTTCTCAGTTTCTTGCTCTAATTTTTCTTTGTGAGCTGTGAGCCACGTCCACGCTCCTGTGTCCCACACTGTTCTTTGCTCATGTAAAAACCTCAATGACTAGTGTGATCTCTTACAACTCATACTACTCTTTCTTGCCCTGATCAAGATAAACTACAGAAATTCATCATCCCTCAATGTTTACTCTTCCTTCTCTCTTAATAGCACCTTAGGGATCTAAACAAATGCCCCCATGCCCTATTCCATACCTGACACCATTACTTACCAAGCTGGGGGAGTTTCTGGCTTTTAAAAATCTCTCAGCTGTTCTCGGATGAGCACTTGACTTGAGCTGTCTCTCAGTACTGATTATCCCCTGTGCTCTCAGCACAGTGTTCTGGCTGCTGTTTATCTTGCTGTGCTCTTTCCTGTACCCAGTGACTGCCCTATCTCCTGAGAGGTTCATCTCAGTCTCTGGGATCTCATTGCCCTTGGTCTGGAACACACACCAAGTGTGTTCCAGAGAGACAGAACACTTCCTATGTGCTCACTGCCCATTGGTAATGCTCCAATAGAACCTACAGTGAGCAAAAGCTTCCCTTTCCCTCTGCTTTCACTGACACGTGAAATTAAAGATTTCCAGGTAGGCTAGACCTGAAGAGTCAGCCTCAGCTCCCTGTCAGGAAGTTCACAGCTGTGGCCAAACCTGGTGGTTTGGTGCTGTGAGGTTTGCCAGGGCCATCTGCACATCCTACTGGGAAGGTGTAAGCAGGATCCCCACACTCAGCTGCTCTGCCACTGTTCTGTGTCTGGAGCAGCTCTGGCTTGTGTCCCAGGATTTACCTCAGGAATTCAGCTGCTCAAGAGCAGGCTCTGTCTGGAAGGAGCAGCCTCTTTAAATAGTTTCTGCTATTTTTTCAGGAGAAGAAGTTGCCCTGTACTGTGCCAAGTACCTCCCTGAGATCATCAAAGACCAGAAGGCCTACAAGGAAGGCAAATTGCAAAAGGTAAGGAGCCAGCTCTGCCCTGGGCTGAGTGCCAGCACAGAGGAAAGCCCTTGTGTGGGTTGTCCAGGGAGGGATGGAGTCTCCATTCTTGGAGGTGTCCAGAACCTGTGTGGGCATAGTCCTGGGTGTCCCTGCTGAAGCAGGGTGTTGGATCAGGAGAAGCCTGTAGGTGCCTGCCAGGTACAGCCGTGCTGTGATTAGTTACAGTGTGCAAGCTGGAAGAGACTGGATTGCACAGCAGGGCAGGCAGGATCCTGTAGGGCAGGGGCAGCTGCCCACTCATGTCTGTGTTCACACACAGGCCCTGGAAGATGCATTCTTGGCCATTGATGCCAAGCTCACCACAGAGGAGGTGATTAAGGAGCTCTCTCAAATGGCTGGGCGGCCACAGGACGATGAAGATGAGAAGGAGAAAGTTGCTGATGAAGATGATGGTAAGTCAGATGCCACTGAACAGACAAGGCTACAGCTCTGGGACAGGGATGTAGAGCAGCAGGGTCAAGTTTCCTTGGGCACAAGGTTTTCTGTCCCAGTTTCTCAGTTAAATTCTGGCTGACTTGAGCTACTGCCCCTTAGCATTATCCAAGGCTTTGGGCTGGTGCTAGGGGGGGAATCTTTATCCATTTGCAAGCTTAATGCTCTGGATAACAAAACAGCCTGTCGCCATTTTCTATAGAGCTTCCTCCATGGGTTGCAGGGTTGCAGGATATGTCAGGAATTCTGAGCTGCACTCAGTTGTGGGAGGGAAATGATGTGGTGTGCTCAGCTCCCCCTGGCTGGTGGCAGCCACCAAGTGCAGATAGGATTGAAGCAGATCCTGGTCTTTTCAGCAGTTTCCCACAAAGAAGCAAGTGTTCCTCCAGCAAGTGGCTGCCAGCCCAGGAGGTGTTTCCTGGGGTGGAATCCTGTGCTGCTCCCACTGAGTACCTTGTGACCAGCCTTGAGACAGATGCAGTGTGATCCTGTCACCTTGAACAATATGTAATCTGGAAATGCTGAATTTGTTGGGTTTTCTTTTCACTCCAGGGATGAAGTGGGTGGGTGGGTGGTTGAGTTTTCTTTCTTTTTGCTCTGTATTTTCAGCAGCATTTGGGCTATCTGTATTTGTTTTCCTTTTGGGGTTAAATAGCAAAGCAAACTATATGCAAGGGGGATGTCAGTAGGGAAGCAGTGGTGTTTGGCCCATGGTCACTGTGGAAAGTCATCCCACTTTGTCTGGTCCCACCTGGGAGGTGGCCAAAGCTGTGCTCTCACCCGTTGTACCTGTCCAAATGAAAGCTGGTGGGGATCCCTGGGGTGTTTCAGCTGTTCTCTTGCTCCTAGCTGCAGCATTAATGACCAAACCTGCACATGGAAGTGGTGGCTCTGCTTCCCTGCAGCTCCCAAGGAGCTTGTGCTTGGGCAAGTGAGGCTCTACCCCCGGCCACACATCTGATGTGCACACTGTGCTACCACCAGCCCCCATGCCTGATGTAAACACTCTGGTGCTGTCAGTTGGCAGGAAGCATGGCTTGGGGGCACTGGGGGCACTGGCAGGCTGTGCTGTGGTCAGAACTGTGGCCTTGCTGTCCCCATCCTGCTCACCTGTAGCATCTGGAGCCGTGTGAGGGCACAGGCCTGGCTCAGAGTCAGCCTGGGGAGCACTGCTGGGACTCTGCCAGCAGCAGCCTCAGCTGGGGCAGCTCAGCACAGGACACAGTGTGCTGGGTGTTCTGCTCTCTCACGCTCTCTGTCCTTGTCCCCTCCCTCTTCCATTTGCAGTGGATAATGAGGAAGCTGCTCTTCTGCACGAAGAAGCCACAATGACCATCGAGGAGCTTCTCACACGTTATGGACAAAACTGCACCAAGAACCTCAAAGCCAAGTCTGTAGCTGCAGCTGGGGATAACGCTGTGGAGGGGACAGGCAAGCAGCATGATGGGGAGTCAAATATGAATGGAGAGGCTGACCCAGGGGAGCTTCCCGACCACAAGGAGAGGAAGAACGGGAAGCCAGACGAAGAAATCACGGGTATTTCCTCCACCTCAGACAAAGCCAGCGCTGGAGGCAACAGCCCTGCTCTGCAGAAGCCTGAACTAGGCAAAGGTGACGAGGCCGTCACCTCTTCTACTGGGGAGGCCGGGCCCTCCTGCTCCTCTACGGGAAAGCCCCAGCGCACAACCAAATCCAAATTTTTTGAGGACAGTGAGGATGAGTCAGATGAGGTTGAGGAAGAGGAGGAAGACAGTGAGGTAGGAAACAGCACTGGAACAGAGTGGCCTTCTGGCTGGGCAGAATGCATTGCTTATGGTGGTACCTGAGACGAGCCTCTGGCTCATCCTAGGTGTGTTCCTAGGAGCAGGTGTTTCAGGCTGATCCTTTGAGGCCATCCCATGGGAATGTTTGTGTTTATTGAGCTAACCCTGAAGGACACACCCTCATCCTGCAGCAGCCATAGCTGATAGCCCCTGGTCCTGCTGCATGCACCATCCCTTCATCCACTGCTGTAGTGATACCAGCTGCTCTGGATGTAGCCATCAAGTGTGGGGACATGTGGCAGGTCACCTCACACCTCTGGGGGAACTGGCCATTGGTCCCCAGGATGGAGGGACCAGCGGGGGGACAGCACCAAGGGTCCTGTGTGACTCCTGTGGTATCTCTCCTTTCTTGTAGGAATGTAGCGAGGACGAGGACGGTTACAGCAGTGAAGAGGCAGAGAATGAAGATGATGAAGATGACACTGAAGAAGCAGAGGAGGATGAGGATGAAGAGGAGGAAATGTTGTTACCGGGCATGGAGGGGAAAGAGGAGGTGCACACCCTGGTTTTGTGTTCTGCAGCTTAGTGTGGAGCCAGGGGCACTTGGGAGACTCAGCTAGGGGTTGTTCCTGTTGAGGTGGGGACGGAACATCCTGTGCACTCTCCTGAGGCTGAGGGAGCTGCTGACAGCCTGGGTTTGTGCAAAAGCTGAGGGATGGGCCTGGATCTGGATGGCAGGTTGAGACCAAAGAGGCTGATCCTGCTGCTGGGCGTGAGGCGCTTGGAAAGCGCTGTGGAGGAGAGTGTGGGCAAGGGCAGGAGGGCTCTGCTGGCACCACTGCTCCAGGGAATAGCACGACTCCTCACCGGGCAGGGCTGAGGCTCTTCAGCCCATGATGGTGCAGTCAGGCAGGCCAGGGACCCAGGGAGTCAGGAAAAGGGAAATGGCTTCCAAAGTGCCAATTTCTCCCTTTGGGGAAATGTCCTGTCTTGAAGCGGGGATGTGCTCAGGCTGGGCTGGGGTTGGAATTAGCACGTTCCAACGGAGGGTACAGACCCGTGGAATGCTGCAGACCCCTGACCCCCACCACACTGCGTGAGACTGGGACGGAGGTGTTGCCTAACCCTGCCCCTCACTGAACACACTCCTGGTGTTTGCCATTTCCCTCACGCCTTCTCCGTTGTTCCATGTGTGCTTACGGGGTGCGATGCAGCACCCCAGGATCTGGGACGCTGCTGGGGCTGTGCAGCTGGTGCTGGTTCCCTTAATGACCTGGCAGGGAGACAGACAGAGAAATCTCACCAGAATTGTCTCCTGCAGCCTGGCTCAGACAGCGGGACCACGGCTGTGGTGGCGCTCATCCGGGGCAAGCAGCTGATCGTGGCCAACGCCGGGGACTCGCGCTGCGTCGTGTCGGAGGGCGGCAAGGCCGTCGACATGTCCTACGACCACAAGCCAGAGGATGAGGTGGAGCTGGCCAGGATAAAGAATGCTGGTGGCAAGGTCACCATGGACGGAAGGGTGAACGGCGGCCTCAACCTCTCCAGGGCCATCGGTAAGCAGGGAGGGGGGACGCTGGCAGGCCTGGCCTCAGGAGAGCCACGCTGACAGCACTGCCTGCCACTGAGGTTGTGGAACAGTTTTTAATGAGATGAGTGAAACCTCTTCCATGTTTGATGGGAGATTTCAGTCTAATTGGGGAAAACAGCTGTGAAACAGTTGGACATCAGTGGAAAGCAGCATCTGACACATCCCAGGCTGTTGTGCCAGCAGCTGCGTTGTCAGAAACCACCTCATGTAAACTGTCCCAAAACCAGACTGATGCCTGTGAAACAGGACTTTTCCTGCTTACTGGGTTATTGAGTGTGTTGCTTCCTGGGGACCTGGCTTCATGTTAGTTTGAACCCATTTATTTGAGTGTGTACAGAAGGACCCAAACCACTGAAATCATTATCTTAGTGTAAAGATATAAAACACACCTCATAAGGAGTTTGTCTAGGGAGACACTGGCATTCCCACCTGCTATTTTGTGGTGGCCCTGGTAGTCCCTTCATAGGATGATTCCTGATAAGCTGCTAGTCAGTGCTGAGGGCCAGTTTTCTCAAGGGAACTTTGAATCATAAAATGAACCCTGGAGTGGTTTGGGTGGGAAGAGGGACCTTAAAGCTCAACCAATTCCAGCCACAGCCATGGCAGGGACACCTTCATTGGACCAGGTTGTTCCAGGCCCCATCCAGCCTGGCCTAACACACTTCCAGGGATGGCGCAGCCCCAGCCTCTTCAGAAGTGTGCTGTTGGCCCCAGGAGGTGGGGAAGGGGCACTTGGTTTGGAGTAAAGATGGGCTGAGCTGGCCAAGACCCCTCTTCCCTGGGCTTGCCAGAGCTTACACCTGGAACCTGCAATGGTTCCTCTGCTTTGTGACCCACAGCCTGATCCCAGGTTGTGGGAGCACTCACTGATCCCACGGGGAATGCCCTGTGGCAGGGCACAGCACTGCCTGCGCCCAGACATCTTCCTCCCCACCACAGGGGATCACTTCTACAAGCGGAACAAGAACCTCCCTCCAGAAGAGCAGATGATCTCTGCCTTGCCTGACATCAAAGTGCTGACAATAAACGATGACCACGACTTCATGGTCATTGCCTGTGATGGAATCTGGTGAGTGGTGAGGGAGCTGTTGTGCCTCTGGGGCATCCCTGCTCCAGCCTTTCTCCAGAGCTCAGCCTGAGGAAGGCCTGTTGGACACTATGGCATGTGTGCTGCCTTTGCCTGCCTTCCTGACCTCTCTGCTCTGCAGGAATGTGATGAGCAGCCAGGAAGTGGTGGATTTCATCCAGTCGAAGATCACCCAGAAGGATGAGAATGGAGTGCTGCGGCCACTCTCCTCCATCGTAGAAGAGGTAAGAGGGAGAGCTCTGCTGTCCCTCCAGCAGCGTGGCATTCCTGCATCCCGGCTCAGTGCCTGGCTCTGCCCTCCCACTCCCTCAGATGGGTTCCCTGGGCACTCCAGCCAGTGTCTGACCCCAGGGGTGCTGTCCAGCGAAACGAGTTTCTGTCACATTCAGAAGCCTGGGGCTGCCGAGGCCATCTCTGTCCCTTGTCCAGTGGGAATAGCATTTGACTCCTGCACGGGTCTGGCCTGGCAGCCCCTGACCACTGTCAGGTGCTGGAACGGGCCCAGTGCCTCAGGGTGGCGTCCCAGTGTGTGTCTGTTCTCTCTGCTGACTTGCCCTGTCCCTCCCCAGCTGTTGGATCAGTGCTTGGCTCCAGACACCTCAGGGGACGGCACCGGCTGCGATAACATGACCTGCATCATTATCAGCTTCAAACCCCGTAACACACACTCACCTGCTGAGAGTGGGAAGCGGAAAATGGGGGAGGCAGCGGCACCAGCAGAGGAGAACGGTGGGGACAGCACCAAGAAGGCCAAACTGGAGTAGCAGGGCCCACCTGGGGACTGGGCTGTGCTCACCAGACTCTCGTTTCTTACCCATGCTGAACTCAAGACTGCAGGTCTTGTCCTTTTTTTAGCCTTAGCAGAGGCCTTGTTTGTCCGTGTCCTGGTCGGGGGGTGGGGCGGGTCTGGTTAGCAAGGGCATGTCGCACTGTTCATCCGTAACCATTCCAAAGAGGGAGCCGGGATGAGCCGCGCCCGGGAGCGCTGCACCGCAGTCTGCTGAGGAGGAGGAGGAGGATGTCCCCCCATTGTCTCCATGTGGTTGTTGCCATTTCTGTGCCTGTGAATTTCTGTTTGGAGGGAAGAACTTTTTCACTGTTGAGGTTTTTTTAATCTGCACCCGATTATTTAAGGCCCTTTCTGGTTTTTTTTGTGAAACAATCTGGCGGTGGTGCTGCAGCCACGCCGTGTTCAGTTGTACACTTTCAATCAATACTTTTTTCAAACTAAAAGACCAGAAAATACAGGTGTGGTTTTGGTCCTTGGTTCTTTCCTGGAGGGGGAAGTGAGGAAGGTGGGATGGGGAGGAGAACGTTTGTCCCTGTGGTCTTGGATCACTGCAGGGTTTTGGCCTGTGGCTCCCAGTTTCCCCAGGATGGCCCTTCTGAGATGTCTCACACAGAGTGGACATGAGCCTCTGGAGAAAGTCTGTGTCTGCTCAAGGGGTAGGGGTACCAGGCACGCCTCTGAGCTCACCTGCCCATAGCACCCATAGAGCTGCACCTTCTGTCAAGGTGAGTCAAGAGGCAGCTCCTCCCTGATGCACAGCCCAGACAAGGGCTGACAGTACCTGCTCGGGCAGGAGCGAAGCCCTGGGCTGTAAAACACTGATGGAAGGGTGTGGGCTACACAGGTGGGCTCTCCCTGTGTAGCAGAAAGAGCCCACTGGAAGAGAAGAGCACTCTGTGGTGATCCATTATTTCTTTTCACACACAATTGGTGCCTTTTATGTGCATTTCCCACTCTTGTTCTTTCTCCCAGTCCCTCCTTCCCCCACAGCCTGGAGCTGTCCCACCTGCCCCAGGATTCCAGAAAGCCAGAAGCTCTGTGGGCAGCAGCCCCCATTGCTGCCAGGGGGTCCCCTGGACCTCAGGCACTCCTGTCTGACCATTCTGGGGCCCCTGTGACAGCCAGGCCAGAGCCAGCACTGGAGGTGACCAGGGCACCTCCCTGCACAGCCCCTGGGACCCTGTGCTCCTGTTCCTGGTGAGCTGCCAGCACTGAACCTGCCAGGAAGCCACAGCACCCCTGCATCTGTTCCCTGTGCAGCTGCAGCAAGGCAAGGCAAACACCTGCAACTCTGAGGGCCTTTGCTGCGGCACAGGACCCACCACAGAGCATTTTGAGTAAAAATCAGCATGGTAAAACATCAACAGAGCACACAGAAAATGGTCTACAGGTTACTAATGTGAGGCCACCATGAATCAGAGCCATTTTGGGGACTCCACAGAGACTGGAGATTGCATCACAAACCGTAATGAGCAGGAACAAAGTTTAAAACCAAACCCTCTGGAGATGGATGCTTGGCAGCAGGAACAGGATGACAGCACATGGTGATTGAGGCAAACTGGTTTTAATGTCACCAAGCAAAGCTGCCTCAGCTCGGGCTCTTAGGGACTGCAGAAATAACTAATACTTTAGGACTGCTTGTTGCTGCGACTAATTCATTCTGTTTATTCAAAACCTGGAGTAGCCTTGACCAGCATGTTGATATTAGGGAGGAAGCGTGAGGTACTGAGCAGCCCCTTCCCAGAGTGATCCTGAGATAAACCCACCTGGCAAGTGGATGTTGTGCTGAGAACAAACCCACTTTTGCAAAGGAAAAGTCTTGAGAGGTCTCCTCAGGCAGCCCCATTCCAGGGGAACATGGAAACAGCCTGAGCAGCACATCCAGCTGCAGCACTGGGCTGTGTGAGGCTCTGAAGCACCAGACTCACACAGGGCTGCAGGAGCCCAGCCCGGACACTCCAGACACCAGAGCAGTTCAGGACTGGACAACTCACTGCAGAGCCACCAGACAGGCTGGGACAAGCTTGAGGCTGCCAGGGAAGGGGTCAGAGGTGCCAGGAGAGGCAGAACCTGTGCTGGTGAGGGACAGACTGAACTGCGGAAGCTAAAACAGCCCATGACCAGAAGGGTGGGGTTCACCTTCTAAAAGGGAAGATCTGTAGTGCAAGGCACTGCCAAAGGCACAACCCCATCATGTGGGAATCCCAGAGCAGCTGAAGGAAGCTGTGCAGGTGAGCCAATTCACAAACCTCATCTCCTGTGGAGACAGGCTGGGACAGCGGGGGATTTCGGTCTGGAGGAGGATCCAGGGAGACCTTAGAGTCACAGTGCCTAAAGGGGCTCCAAGAAAGCTGAGGGACAGGCAAGGGGCAATGGCTTCCCACTGCCAGAGGGCAGGGTTAAATGGAGTATTGGGAAGAAATCCTTCCCTAGTGAGGCCCTGGCACAGGTTACCCAGGGAAGCTGTGGCTGCCCCATCCCTGGAAGTGTTCAAGGCCAGACTGGACAAGGCCTGGAGCAACTTGGTCTAGTGGAAGGTGTCCCTGCCCATGGCAAGGGACAGCAATGAGCTTTAAGTTCCCTTCCAACCCAAATCCTTTACTCACTCTGTGACTGCCCAACTCTGAGCAGCATAACATTCAGGAGTAGCAAAACATTCAGAAGCAGCTTTTTCTCCCCAGGATGCTGCAGCAGCATGAGAGTGGCAAGGATCCCAGGGCCTGAGACTATGCAACCCATCTGGCAATAGGTCCCCACCTACAGCACGTGGTGCTCCCTCCACACTGGCCTTGCTGCAGGATGGATCCCTGTGGGGATCAGCACCAGAGATGGGAGCTGGGGGGCTGCTGCCCTCCCCTAACCCTGCAGCCTGCTCTCAGGGCAGGTCAGCTGGTACAGACAGGGCAGAGGCCACTCCAGGTAACCCCTGTGTGTCTGGGTGGCCTCTTCCTCACACAGGTGCAGATGTGATGCCTGTTGTGCACACCAGTGGGCTGCCAGGCGGCTGTGCTCTCAGGGGAGTTTTGCCACAGGAGACAGAGGGACCCTCAGAAAGCAGCTTTATTTCCTAGTGGTGCCTCTGGGAAAGGGGCAGGCAGGGCTAGTGCAGGGTGCAGCAGTGCTGGGTGCAGCTGGCACCCACCCAGGACCCAGCTCCCAGGGCTGGGTGTGCTGGCAGAGGGGGACTGGCTCTGCCACAGGAGGGCACAGGGCCTGTGTGTGGGTCATGACTCTCCCCCTCAGGCCCCCATCACTCCACAGGGACACCCACGGAGCTGCCCCTGTCACTGGTGGCTCCCAGAGAGTCCCCAGAGAGGCTCTGCCCAGACAGGGCACTGCTGAGGCTCTGCTGCCGGGCAGAACGTGGCACTGCTTCCACCGACACCTCCACCTCGATGGTAACACCTTCCCTGCAGACAGACACCGGCCTGAGGGCAGCAGCCCAACAGGGAACACCCCTGTCCAGCACAGCAGGGGACTCTGTTTGGAAGGGATGTGCCACCCCTGCCCCCTGGGCACCCTGCCTACCTGTCAGAGGTGTCCTGGCCCTCGCTCAGCATGCTCCCCGCAAGGGCCACTGTGCTGGCTGACTGGCTGTCCCGTTCTGGCCACAGCGGCCCTGGGCGTGGACTGCGGCTGCTGCTGGGGAGGGAGGCAGCGGGCTCTGGAGCTCCGTCCTCGCCCGCCCTGGGGCTGGGCAGCGCTGACCACAGCTCATTCACTGCGGAGAGAGAGACAGCGCGCCATTCCCACGACCTGCCCCTTGCAGGAGCAGGGCGGGCACAGGCCAGGCCTGCCAGCTGCGCGGGACCCACGCTTGGCCAGGTTGTCCAGCTCCACCACGCCGAGGTCCCCGGGCGCGCGGCCGCCCCTGCAGCGCCAGCGGCTGCGGCACAGCGACAGCACCACGGTCCCGTACACGTAGGTGAGCACCAGGGGCACGCCAACACCTGTGGGTGGACAAGCTGTCACTGCCCAGCCCCAGCCTGCTGCCTCTGGACCCAGACATGAGCCGCAGTCCCACCCCAACGTGGGCAGTGCCCTCGGCACTCACCCACAGTGAGAGCTGTTATGATAGGGGACACAAAGAGAGACAGGAGGACACTGCTGGTGACAGAGAGGCACTGCTGGCACCCGGAGAGGCTGCTTCGCCGGCTCTGGCCCAGCACCTCGAGGACAAGACAGAAAGGTGAGGGGCTCTACAAAGACCTCAGCACAGCCCCAGGGACTCAACCTCTTCCCAGCCTGGCAGAGCTCCAGCCACAGCCACCCAGACACCCCTCCCTCTCCTCAGGGACAGCTACAACAGCAGTTCCAGCACAGGAGTTCTGTTTCTGGAAAGCCCCCCTAGAACCCTTCCTCCTTTTGCCAACCCTGAGCACCTGCACTGGCAGGGCTGCTGGGGGCAGCAGAAGGTCCTGGCAAGGCAGGACTGTGGGCTGTCAGGGGTGGCACAGGGATGTGCTGAGGGCAGCAGGGAGCACTGCAGGTCTGTCCAGGCCAAAAGCCATGGGCTACCAGGCTCAGCAGGGAGCAGGACCACAGGGACTCCAGGACCACCTGGCAGTACCTTCCTACCCATGTAGATGGGGATCCCAATGGTGATGACAGGGACAGCAACACCCGCAGCAAGGGAGATGACCATGGGTGCTCCCAGCACCATGCCCAGCTGCCACAGGATCCTCCGGGTCCGTGACCACGGCCTCTTCCCCCAGAAGGTGCAGCCAGAGGGGCTGTGGGGACACAGTGGGGCTGAGCCAAGGATGCTGTGAGTGGCGGGCAGAGACCAGCACAGCCTGGTCTCATGTGAGGGGACATCCATGAGCCCACCTGAGAGCCGGCAGCCAGGCTCCCCCAGCCCTGAGCTCCAGCTGCCCCCTGTGGGGTGCCAGCAGCCAGCCCCAGCAGCACAGACCACCCTGCTCCCCCTGGCTAACCCCAAACGTGGGGCAGGGCCTGGCTGCCCCCATCCCAGCTCCCCACCCTGTCAGAGCCCCCAGCCTCGGCCAGTGCAGTCCCACAGACCCCCCCCAGCTCCTGTCAGAGCCCCCAGCCCCTAAGGCCCTGCACTGACCTCAGGAAGTGCACGTCAGAGATCTCCTGCAGGCAGAGCCAACAGAAGAGGCAGCCACAGACCGTGCAGTTCATGCGGTTGCAGCTCCCATCGTTGATCTTCATGATGAAGGCGCTGCAGCGAGGACAGACCTTGATGTCCTCGGCCTCAGCTGGGGGCAGACAAGATGGCATGGGGGAGCAGGACAGAACAGTGTGCATCCATCCCAGCCTGTCCCAGTCCCACAGGAATCATGGGGGGAGCTGAGGTCGCTCTAGACACCCCGGCCCAACTGGCACAGGGGCTGTGAGACTGCAGCAGAGGGAACTCTGGATCCTGCCTCCAGCAGCCCACAGGCAGGGAGGCACAGAGGCACAGGACTGTGTCAAACCCCAGCCCTGCTGCTCCCACCCTGGGCCAGGGCCTCACCGTGGGCCAACTCCTCCAGCTGTGCTGTGGGGGTGGCCAGGCTGGGGGTCGGTGGCACCGGTGCACAGGGGCCGTCAGGGTGCCAGGGCTGCCGGCAGTGGTAGCAGAACTCGGTGCCACAGCCCTCACGCCCACAGGTGAGGCGGGGACACTCGGCACAGCCATGGGCAAAGACAGCGTAGCTGTGGGGAGAAGGCAGCTGGAGCTGGGCTGCAGCAGGGCGTCCCTCCCCTCACAGCCAGCCCAGGCTGTGGCAGTCCCAGCCCCACACCGAGCTGGAGCCACAGCCCGGCTCAGGAGAGCTGGGATCCACCCTCAGCAGCCCACCCTGCCCAGCAGCCACAGCCCTGGGGCTCACAGAGTGTCTAGCACAAGGACACCAGCCCTGGCAGACAGAGCTGCACAGGCTCTGCAGCCAGACCAGGACTGGACACTTCCCTGGGCACACCCAGCCCAAGGCAGGACAAAGCGATGGGAACCCAGCCTGGGAAGGGCTCACGGGACACAGGCACGCCCTGCTGCTGCGGGAGGGGGCCCACGCCCACCCCGCATTCCCGTCTGTGCGGGGCCCGCGGTACCTGCAGTCAGGCGCGGGGCACCAGCGGGTGCCGGGGTCGGCCACCAGCAGCCGCCGCAGCAGGAACTCCTCATACTTGTCGCGCAGGGCGGGCTCGGGAAGGAGGCGGTGCACGTCGTGGGGCTGGAGCGCGGCGGGGCAGTGCGGGCAGGACGCGGGCACGCGGCTCTCGCGCACGGCCAGGCACAGGTACTGCTGCAGGCAGGCCCGGCAGGAGCGGTGCGAGCAGCAGGCCAGGCTGGGGAAGGCCTCGGGGGGCTGCGGCAGCAGGCACAGGGGACACTCCTCCAGCGCCGGGCCCTCGCCCAGGGCCAGCACCACGCGTGTCTCCTCGGGCTGCTCCGGCTCCGGCTCCGGCTCCGGCTCCGGCTCCGGCTCCGGCGGTGTCTCCCCCCCGAGGGGCCGTGGCTTCCGCCTGAAGCAGCCCAGCAGCCGGCGGGGCCCGGGCACGCGAGCGGGCTGCTCCATGGTGGCCCGCCGAGGCAGCCAGGGCTGCTGTAGGCTACGGAGGGCAGCGGGGAGGTGCTGGCCCTGGCGCAGCCCCCATGGCCCGGCTCCTAGCTGGGCCCCAGCACAGGTGACAGCGGAGCCATCCCCGGCTGCAGTCGGCGCTCAGCCTGCAGAGGAACTGCCCCTGAGAGCGAGCCTGTGCCCCAGGAGCAGCCCCCCGCCCGTCCTGCCCCATCCTGCCTCCTTCAGCTCCGCCTGACGGGTCCAGGCCCACAGAGCTCCCAAATGCCCAGCGTGGGGAAGAGTGGCAACACCGCGACAGCCAGGCCAGGCACAGGGCAGCGTGGCACTCACACCCACTCAAGCACTTCTCACCGGAGCTCGCTTGCCAAGGGACTCAAGACCCGGTTCACTCAGTGACCGGGAGCCGGGTGACTCCTGCATGGGGTAAATCTGTCCATTTTCCTCGCTTAGAGCTCACAAATCCACTCCCTCCCCATGGTCCTTCCCTCTCTCCACCTAAAGCTGCCCCTGCCCTCCCCACTCAGCAGCACTGCCAGACCCCAGAGCCGGCAGAGCACTCCAGCGACAGCACCAGTGACAGAACCAGTGACAGAACCAGTGACACTCAGCTGAGGCTGAGCAGTCCCAGCATACCTGCTCTGCTGGGCCAGGCACTGCGTGGCTCCGCATCCCCCCGGGGAGCGGGCAGCTGCAGCGGTCGGGGCAGCCGTGCAGCGGCGGGATTCCCGTGGTGACCGGAGAGCGACAGACGGCCAGGGCGGTACCTGTCAGCGGGGAATCATCGCTGGCAGCACGGCACGGCCACGGCCCGGCACACCAGCGCCCGCGGCACCTGCAAAGGGACAGCAGCGATCCGCGAGAGGCCGAGCGCGGCTCGCACGGCCCGGGAGGGAGCGGAGCCACCGGGGAGCCCAGCGAGCGATGCGGATGGGCACACGGCTGGGCTGCAGCCCGCACCGGCCACCTTCGGGACCGGCCAGAGCACGGCGAGCCCGGACGGCCAGCGGCGCTTGGGCCCAGAGGGCGAGACGCCAAGCGCCGGTGTCCCCGGTGTGACCGCGCGGGGACGCCGGCGAGGGACTCACCGGGGTCTGCCTTCCGCGCTCGGCGGGGCCGGACCCGGAGGGCACCGGGGGAGGAGCCGCAGCCGCCCCTGAAGGGGCACCGAGACCGACAGCGTCCGGCAGCGGCCCCGGTCCCGCCGGTGCCACAGCCTCCCCCGGGCCGGCGCCGGGGCCCGCCACGATGCCCCGGCGGAAGCAGAGCCACCCGCAGCCGGTGAAGGGTGAGTGCGCGGCGGGCCCGGGGGGCGGCGGCGGCCCGGCGGGGACCCGCGGCGCTCGGAGCGCTGCAGCGGACGCCGAAGATGGCACCGAGGAGACGGCAAGAGCGGCGGTGGTGTTGCCCGGGGACCTGCTGCTGGGCCGTGGCCCGGCCTCCGAGAAGGGACCGCCAGGTGCGTGCGGCCCCGCGGGGACGCCGCCCGTCTCCGGCAGCCCCGCCGGCGGCGACGCGGCCCGGCCGGGCCGTACCGGCCCCGCGCTCGGCGCATCCGGCAGGGCCCGCCCTGCCACGGGCCCGCCCGGCGCGGGCTCCGGCCGAGCTTCCTCCCACGGGGGAGGCCCGGCCCCCGACGGGGCCCCGGGGTGGGTTCTGCCCGCCCGGCATTGACCCCCCGGTACCGATCCCCGAACGCTCCTTCCCGCGGGGGTCCCGGCCACGATGTGTTCCCGCGGTGGGCTTGGGGCCGCGCCCCGCAGCCGCCGCCGGGCTCATCCCGGAGCCAGCGCAGCGCTCAGCCCCGGGCTCCTGTTGCACCGCGCCGCTCAGCCCCGGCACCCCGGCCCGCCGCTGCGGGCAGCGCCTGTCCCGCCGCGGCTCCCGAGCTTGGGTCAGCCCCGGCCGAGGCAGCCGGAGGAGCGAGCGCTGCTCAGCCCCAGGGAGCTGCTCACCGGGACTGGCGGGAGGCACTCCCCGCCCCGGGCACTGAGCAACGTGGGAACGGAACGGCAGAGACGACGGCACGGACTGTCCGGCCCCGTGCCTGTCCCCTCGCTGTCCCCAGGGGCTGTGCCCTGCTCCTCCTCTGGCACTGAGGCTCTGCCCCAGCTGCCTGGCACATGGGGCTGCTCTGAGGGCTCTGCCTCCCTGCCCTGCCTGCCCTAGGAGCCTGCCAGGGGTTTGGGGACCAATTATTCCAGGAATACCTGTCCTCCCATTCAGCCCCAGCCCGGGAGCAGGACTAGGACCTCAGCCCACTGAACCAGGCTGGAGAGACAGGCTGTGCCATGTGGGCACTGACAGGGCCCTTTAGGGGAGAGAGCTCTGGGGCTGCTGTGGCACTGCTGGCCTGAGGGGACAGGGGGCTCCTTGGTGTGGCTGGGGCTGAGCTGAGGAGAAAGGGGGTCCCTTAGCAGAGGGCTTGAGGCAGGGTCAAGAGTTCCCCGTAACAGGCAGGCCTTGGCAGGATGCCCTTTTCTGATGTCTGTGTTTCCAGCAGTGCTTGTGGAAGGGGCTGGAGGCTGGAAGGGCTGCCCCGGCACAGGTCAGCCTCATCAGCTGGACACAGCCCGGGTGGCAAGGGGACAGCCCAGGGTGGTTCCCAGGATGGTGGGCAGCTGCTGAGTCTGACAGGCCCAGGATGCAGGGCCAGCAGGCATGGCTCACAGCTCATGGCTCACAGCTCATGGCTCACAGCTCATGTGAGCTGCCCCTCCAGCCCCGAGCACCAGCCTGGGGGCACTTGAGGAGCACAGGGGCTGCACAGTCTGTGCCCAGCTGAGAAGTTCCACTTGAGATCCTGGCAGCCTTCCCCCTGCTGCCAGCGGACAGTGGCACTGCGTGGGGCAGGGCAATGTTTCCTGCAGGACAGAAGGGGCTGGTGCTGGAGCTCCCTGGTGCCGGCCATGCGAGTGCAACCAGCTGCCAACCCCGGGGCTGAGGCAGTGGCACAGTGAGAGGGGCACAGAGCAGCTTTATGGGCACCCCTTTCTCCAGCCTGGGCCGGGCTGTACCCAGCACCTGGTACCCACCAGGCCCAGCAGCGCCAGCGGGTGATGGACCCACCCGTCCTCTCACCCTTCCTGGTGCCGGGGTCTTGGCCAGCCACGCAGAAGTGTCAGGGTTTCCCCAGACACCCAGAACAGGCCCTCAGCAGGGCGCTGGGGCAGCTGTGGGGCTCCTCACTGCCATGCACGGAGCGGTGGGCTCCTGCTGGGTGCCACGGGGCGGGACTGGGGGCGTAGGCAGAGGGGCAGTGCCCAGGCCTGCCAGGCTGACACCGCCCCATCCCCACGGTGTTCTCAGCAGACACGCTGGTGGGGAAGATCGCTATTCCAGCGTACGCCCTGAGCGACGACGACTGCTCCTCTGGGTACCAGCAGCTGAGCGTGGAGAGTGACCCTGAGGAGGGGGGCGAGCCTGGCCCCGCCGCGCTGCCCTGCCGCCAGTGCGGGCTGCAGCTGGCTGCCAGCCTGGGCCAGAGCTGCCTGCAGTGCGCCGGCGCCGAGGGCGGCCGCAGCCAGCGCATCGTCTACTCCTGCCAGCTCTGCCCCTTCGCCTCCCACTACTCCAGCCACCTCAAGCGCCACATGAAGACACACAACGGGGAGAAGCCTTTCGCCTGCCCGCAGTGTGCCTACGCCTCTGCCCAGCTGGTAAACCTGACCCGGCACCTGCGCACGCACACCGGGGAGAAGCCGTACCGCTGCACGTGCTGCAGCTTCGCCTGCAGCAGCCTGGGCAACCTCAAACGCCACGAGCGCGTCCACAGCCAGGACAAGCCCTTCCAGTGTGCTGCCTGCGACTATCGCTGCAACCAGAGCCGCAACCTGAAGCGGCACATGCTCAGCCACCGCCTGCCTGAGGGCGAGGGGCCGCACCGGCGGGACAAGGACCCAGGTAAAGGTGGGAGGGCGTGGGGATGCGGGGAGAGCTACTGCAGGGGCTTTGGGGCTGGCCTGGCACAGATCCTGCTGTTGATCCGAAGTCATGGTACTGCCAGGCTCACCGGGGCACTGTGGCTCATCACAGAGCCCGTCCTCACTGGCGCCGTGCCACCCGGCTCACAACCCGTCTCTTTGTCCCGCAGAGCCGCTGCTGCCAGAGCTGAGCCTGCACGTGGGCAGCGGCAGCGGCGCCTTCCTGCCCGGCTGCGCGCGGCTGCGGGGCGAGGAGGCAGCTGCGCTGCCCGAGCTGCTCTTCCCCTTCACGTGCCGCATGTGCGGGCTGGTGCTGGACGACGGCTTCGCGCAGGACGAGGGCCTGGCCGAGCAGGTCTGCGGGCGCTGCAGCCTGGCGGTGCTGGGCACCGAGCCGGGTGCCAGCCCCCGGAAGGGCACTGGGGACAAGGGCTTTGCCTGCAGCCTCTGCCCCTTCGTCACCCACTACCCCAACCACTTGGCGCGGCACATGAAGACGCACAGCGGGGAGAAGCCCTTCGCCTGCCCGCTCTGCCCTTACGCCTCCGCCCACCTGGACAACCTGAAGCGGCACCAGCGCGTGCACACAGGCGAGAAGCCCTACAAGTGCCAGCTCTGCGACTACGCCTGCGGCAACCTGGCCAACCTCAAGCGCCACGGGCGCATCCACTCAGGCGACAAGCCCTTCCAGTGCAGCCTCTGCAGCTACAGCTGCAACCAGAGCATGAACCTGAAGCGGCACATGCTGCGGCATACGGGCGAGAAGCCCTTCCAGTGCCGGGACTGCTCCTACACCACTGGTCACTGGGACAACTACAAGCGCCACCAGAAGATCCACGGCCACACAGCCGAGAGCTGGGTGAACCCGCGCAATGCCAAAGCCCTCCTGGCCCCCCCAGCCGTGGGCACGGCCCTGCCCTGAGACAGCACTTAGCCCGGCAGTGGGCCTGGGGTGCTGCGGTGCCTGCCCTCCCTGGGGGAGGGAGGACAGGCAGGCAACTCCACGGGGGCTTAGGGCTGCCTTTCACCAGGCCCAGAGGCACACTGGAGCCTCCAGCAGCCCCGTCCTGCCTGGGCAGGGTGAAGTCATGACCAGGCTCTGACCCCTGCCCGTGTGGCAGCACTGCCACGTCCCCAGCCACCCCACCTGCCTGTTTCTGCCTGCCGGAGCCTTCCTCTGCCGGGGTTTGGGGAAAAGGGGGGAGGGGGGAACAGGACTGGTTCCATGGCTGCTGCCGTGCTGGTCGGTGTAATTTATATTGTGTATAAAAGCATTAAACAGTCAGTTTTGTTATCTGCTCTTCACCATGGGGGCCTTGTTCTGCTACAGAGGAGGACAGCACAGGGCTGGCATGGAGAGGGGAGGGACAGCAGCAACTCCCCAACAGACAGCCTGGTACCAATCAGGATCCATTTTAATCATTGTTGCAGTGTAAACATCAGTTACTGTCCATTAATGCTCTGTCGGGCTGAGCAGCAGGAGATACGTGGTTACAAGCCTAGATTATGCTGGCGTCTATGAGCGGGTTAGAGGGGACTCTGCGCAGAGCCCCTGAGACAGCGTACTGCGCTCTGTCTCGGAGCACAAACCTAAATGCTAATTTGGCATTATGGAGCCTGCCTGGCTCTGCCCCTAGGCTGGGCCAGGCCCCGCACTGCAGCTCCAGGGCTCTGCCCGGGCAAACTGTTCAGGTCAAACAAGCCCTCTCCCAGCTGGAGCCAGCAGCGGGAGGAGTTCAGCCGCCCCCGCCCCGAAGGCAATGGCGGGCTGGGGGTGAGCTCCCAGCCCCGGGGAGCAGGGAAAGGTGGATGTAGCAGGTGAGAGGCACGTTGATTGCAACCTGGCTGCAGGTCGTACATTCCTCAGCGAAGGCCCTTGCTCAGGCCGGGGCTGTCCTGGGAAGGGGGCACTACAGATCCTCATCGCCAATGCCCTCAAAGGCGTAATTGCCGTGGAAGTCGTTAGCACCCACGTCGTTTGCAGAGCTGGAGTGGCTGATCCCACGCAGGCTGACAGAAGTGAGCTTGCTCTGTGGAGAAGGGAGATGTTAGGGAGGACACCCCTAGTTCCCCTACCCACTTAGCCTGAGGTCTCTGGTGCACCCACACACAACTCACCGAGAGTTTGGCCATGGGCTCCCAGGAGGCATCGGGTGAGTCCTGTGAGAACAGCACAGTTGGGCAGCACAGGGTCATGGGACACAACACCCACCTCTCCTTCTACCTGCCCCACTCCATCCCATCCCTAGGGAGTCTGGCTCACTGAGTTGGTCCAGGACCACTTTCCCTTCCCACAGCCCTGCTGTCCT